GCTATTATGCAAAAACACACACAACTATACTCAACGTACACATGTGAGAGACATATGCGGCAATCCAAAACTCACATGCAGATTCCATCCTGCCAAGGCCAGTAAAGTAGGCTACAAACTAGGTCACAGAGTTCTGTTTCAGAATTTTGAATACTTTATAAAAAACAAGAACATTAAACCAATGGTGCAACACCCTTTCCACAGCAGTTAGTTCCGGTTTGATTGGCCAAGCGGCCTGAGTGCTGATTTCTACATCATGCTGCCTTCAAGTGCACTTGGAAATCCCCTACTTCCAAGTTGGGCATTCAATGTTTTGACATATCACGCATTCAAGCTAGAAAAATATTACAAATCAATAATAACATTTATTTTAATTTATTTAATTTTTCATATTATTTGCATTTCTTATTTAAGAATGGTATTTAACAACAAAAATAATTTTGCATAAAGCAAACCACGAAAGGTGAGTGATTAATATCGGCATGAAACGGAAATTGTGATAGTCTTTTATCCCTTACTGTGATGTTTATCTGAGTGAAATGACTTCTCAAACAAGAAAAATGTATGGCAGGGCTTTATTTTGACCATTGGGAATTGACTGGATCATTGGATTGTCGTCGTTTGGTAATTGCTGCGATCTGATGTGAGTTATGGGTTGCTAGAAGGGAAGGATTATTGCCCAGCCCTCACACTGGCATAATAAACACGGCAATATTCCATAAAAAAACAAGAATCATCCATTTTGATTTCATTTGTTGTCTAAAAGTTAATTTGTAAAGAGCACCTGAATGTTATTAAAAATAAAGTAAAATATTATTAAAATAACCCATTCCCATTTGGTCAAATAGCAAAAGAAAAAAAACACAATAGTGCTTTCATGACTTTCAAAAAGAGGAAAAAAAGAGAGGGATTTATAGGAGCAGTCAGAGAAAGAGAGAACGATTCAAATTTACCGTCACTAACTAACGTCGTTAATAGTGTTTTGTAAATTGATACAATGGTAATATAATACAAATTATTACACGGCTCTGTGGAATACTTGATTGTGATTGGTCAATCGCCCCATGCAGCGGTATGTTATTCCCAGATAACAACCGCCAAATTGAATAACACACCGCTCATCCGGGTACTACGAGTTATCTTGACTGGTACTATTTATATACTTAACGAGTCACTCCGCTATCGTTGACTGTCTGCGGAGCCATCTTGTGACTGAAAACACTTAACCACCACGTGTTACAATGGAAGACTTCAGCATTAATTTCAACATATATGGTAAAAACTAGGGCTGCATGATAAATCGCATGCGATATTTAACGCACATCTTATTAGTAAAGCCGGTTCTGTAATCAGCGGTAAATCACGTGATGGAGATTTACCGCTGATTACAGAACCGGCTTTCTGACAAGATGCGCATTAAATATCGCATGCGATTTATCGTGCAGCCCTAGTAAAAACAAATCTTTTTAGCCGTGTAATAAGTGGGATAATGTACATCCAGCCGGTTGTTATCTCAGAATAAACCCCGACAGGGTGATCAGGACCCCGACGCGAAGCGGATTAACAACCGGCTGGATGTACATTATCCTTTATGTATAGTCTAATAAATGTACATACATTTTTTAGAAATGAAAGTATAAAACAATTGGCTGGATTTACAATGTTAATGACCACTGAAACGTGTCTGTGAAAAGAGTTCATTGCTTTGAGCAGGGTTTCTCTTACAAACCCGGAGTTGAGTTAGTGCGAAATGATAACAGACGGATTGAGACGAATAGAAATTTGCTGCCGCTGCAATGTTCTGTTCCAGTGTTTGCGCTGCTCATTGACACGCCAAATTTTTAGGCTTCATTTGGAAAGAATTTTGTTCACAAAGAGAAAAACATGAAAAAATCTACTCTGTATTAGCTTTTATTTATAGAACCATTGTATTGAAGGGATAGCTCACCCAAAAATAAAAATTTGCCATTCATTTACTGACCCTCAAGCCATCCAAGGTGTAGGTGACTTTTTAAAATAAAAACATTGGAGTGATCATTGGAGATAAAATGCAAGTCAGTGGCTACCAGTTTTGAGATTAAATAAAAGAATATCAAGAACACAAAATTAATACCCTTGGCTCCTGATGATATATTAAAGAGATAGTTCACCCAAAAATGAAAATGTTATGTTTATCTGCTTACCCCCAGAGCATCCAAGATGTAGGTGACTTTGTTTCTTCAGTAGAACACAAACAAAGATTTTTAACTCGAACCGTTGCAGTCTGTCAGTCGTATAATGTACGTGGATGGGAATCACGGCTTTGAGAGTCATAAAACATACACAAACAAAACCAAATTAAACCCTGCGGCTCGTGACGATACATTGATGTGTAAAGACACAAAATGATCGGTCTGTGCAAGAAACTGAATAGTATTTATCTTGTTTTTTACCTCTGATTTTCACCGCAATGTCTGAACTGTCCTGAGCGCATTCGCATGTTCTTCTTCAGCCGGCGCGTGAGGCATCTTCTTCTTTTTGCTTTTCTTCTTCTGCAGATCGCAGACTTATAAGGGCATTACCGCCACCTATCTCTCAAATGGACCATTGACACTATCTACAATCTCAATTAGGAGTGTCAATAGTCCATTTGAGAGATAGGTGGCGGTAATGCATTTATAAGTCTGCGATCCGACGTAAAGCAAGAAGAAGACGCCTCACGCACAGTTCAGACATTGCGCTGAAAATCTGAGATAAAAAAACAATATAAATACTGTTCAGTTTCTTGCACAGACCGATCGTTTTGTCTTCACACATCAATGTATCGCCACGAGCCGCAGGGTTTAATTTGGTTTTGTTTGTGTATGTTTTATGACTCTCAAAGCCGTGATTCCAATCCACTTACATGATATGACTGAAAGACTGCAACGGGTCGAGTTAAAAATCTCAGTTTGTGTTCTACTGAAGAAACAAAGTCACCTACATCTTGGATGCCCTGGGGGTAAGCAGATAAACATCCAATTTTAATTTTTGGGTGAAGTATCCCTTTAAGGTCTTATGAAGTTAAACGATCAGTCTGTGCAAGAAACTGAACATTATTATCTGTATAATTACCTATAATCCATAGCCTCAGGCAAACGGTCCAGAATGATGTCCGGTTTGCAAACTAAATGGTTCTTTGTAGTGAACTAGATGAACCAGTTTACCAAATCGGACTGAACCATCTGAAACAGCTTATGCCCGTGGAACGAACAGCACAGATCTACAAGTTACTCAATCTAAACTCACTTTCGGATGTGCCTGACAGTCACTCCGACTCTGAATGAGCCAAAATACCAGCATGTAAGATGCTATGATGCTGGATTTTGCCAACTCATTCAGCACTCCACTTACTCCAACAGTACACTGAACTGAGTAAACAGTTCAGACTCAGACTGAAGAACTGATGAGCCTGTGATAACCGAGCACTTGAATGAAGAGGTGAAATTAGGATTTTTTGGTTTCGCATTGATTACGTGAAAAGGTGGTGAACTAATAAAGACTAGTCTATTAACGTTATATGCATTAGACATCTACAACATCCATGTTTCACATCATTATTGGGTGCTTTAATAATTGCCTACAGGCCCTACGTTACCTCATTATGTGACTACCTAAACAAGCTGGTGAATCAGTTTGAACTCATTATGTGACTACCTAAACAAGCTGGTGAATCAATTTGAACCAGAAACAAATTGTCCAAAAAAGCCATTTTGCACAAATCAGACTTCCACGTTTGCCTGAGGCTATGGAATAACGGTAATAATATTGTAAATAATTCATTTTCTTGCACTGACCAATCATTTCACTTCATAAGACTTCAGTTGTCAGGGGCCAGGGGTATCAATTTTGTGTTCCTTGATATGCTTTTTTTTTGGTAATTCTCAAAAACTGACAGCTGCTGACTTTAAATTTATGAATCACCAAGGACTATGGTTTCAGCTAAAAAAAAATCTTTACTGCTCTACTGATGAAAAATAAAGTCAGATGGCTTGAGGGTGAGTAAACTAATAGCTCGTTTTCATTTTTGGGCGAACTATTCCTTTAAAGTGGTATCTCATCTGCTATATTATGCTATTATTCTAAAAATCGTGCTGATATTCAGAATTGCAGCTTTCTTACTCTTGCGAAATCGGTCAATTAGTATCTCTATACGAGATCTGTACAGAGAGAGACCCAGGCAGACAGACAAAGGCAGGTTATAAATCGGACACAATGAGCACAAGTCGGATGGGTCGAAACATGGAAACACGTTGGAATTTATGACTCAAGAAAGAGTAAATTAGCCTACTCCAGTGTAGGCCTACTTTCCTCTTAAAATGTGTACATGGCGAATAACAGTTTCAGTACACAGTCTGTTGAAGCCTCCTGTGTCTCACGTTAAATAACCTTGCGCAGTGTGAAACGACACACGATTAGAAGGCGATTAGAAACCCAATAGCTGCTCCAGTGATGAACAGGTTATGTGCTTTAAGGCAAAGTCAACGAAAACAATCCTGCTCCACATAAAAGAAGCTGAAGGTGCAAGATTTACCCACAAATATTCTTTCAGCAAGAAGCGATAATACGTTCACATACCGCTTGAAAACAGCTGCTGATAAACATCTCCTCTGGCATACAAACAGCACAGCAAAACCACACGCTCAACCCATATTAGCTTATTCGTTGCATTATTAAAAATCAATTCAGCATTAATATGAATAGGCTATTAATACGAATAGAAAACCTCAAAGTTCCCATGAGTGAGAAATAAAAGAATAGCCTATGCTCAGCTTTTCTAAGCTTTCAGATGAGATGGAAAAAAGTAGGCTACTGTATCAACTTCTTATGAAAATGCATTCAGTATTTTCCCTTTACAAGGTATACATAACGAATAGACATAGGCTCAGGTCATGGTGTGAATACCTGATTGTCCACATCCCTATCGCCAAAACAAACTCCTGTCATCAATGCAGCGTATCCTGGAGTCCACGAGCACTCACCTTCCGCCGTTAATTCTCCTCTGGTGATCTGGAAAACACTTCCCAAAGCGTGTAAAACTAGAACAATTCCCACAAACACATCGAGCGTGCTTGAACCCGCCATATCAGATATCCACCGAGGCAGATGTCCTCAGTTTCTTTTGCTCTGTCGTCGCCAAAGAAGATGTCAAATAAAGACAAACAGCGTCTGGTCAGTCGCTGAGCATTCCGCGCCCGCTGCTGAAGCTATGCCTCACCGCTCCTGTGATGCGAGGACTCGCGCTCCCGATAACGACGCGTTTCCTTCAGACTCCAGACCCAAACTAATCCTAGCAGAGTTCGAGATAGTCTAAAAAACAGCCCAGTCCAGCTCGCCTCTTATCCATGCATTCACCACAAAACCAGGAGGTGTAGATGGCGTCACACACGCACCACCAATAGTGTCCTGAATCTGACTTGCATGGGGGGGCTTCTCAGTCATGAAGTGGATTTGGCATTAGTGCCACTGTTTTCATGAAAACACGGTTCACTGATTCATAAGACAAAACATGTCACACGTTTTTAAAATAGCAACAGTTCCACTTTAAAATTCACAAGAGATTATTCAAATTATGAACAAATTCAACTTTTTTTTCATTTTTCTCATTTTATCAACAACAAAAAAATGATTTAACACCCTCACACCCCGAAAACAACCTGTCCTTAGACAATAACACTTCATATATTTACGACACATATAAGAAAATATATTTGTTTATATTTTAATATAAATATATTCAAGTGTAACATCAATTTGTATAACATAAATATAAAAAAATCACTAATATGCTGTTAGAGAAAGAAGATCTTTAATTGTATTGTCCACATCGTCAGACATTTATGTTTAAAACGTTTAAAATTCAGGTCATAATGAAACCAACTGTACAGTATACAGTACTTCTCAGTCATGAAGTGGATTTGGCATTAGTGCCACTGTTTTCATGAAAACACGGTTCACTGATTCATAAGACAAAACATGTCACACGTTTTTAAAATAGCAACAGTTCCACTTTAAAATTCACAAGAGATTATTAAAATTATGAACAAATTCAACTTTTTTTTCATTTTTCTCATTTTATCAACAACAAAAAAATGATTTAACACCCTCACACCCCGAAAACAACCTGTCCTTAGACAATAACACTTCATATATTTACGACACATATAAGAAAATATATTTGTTTATATTTTAATATAAATATATTCAAGTGTAACATCAATTTGTATAACATAAATATAAAAAAATCACTAATATGCTGTTAGAGAAAGAAGATCTTTAATTGTATTGTCCACATCGTCAGACATTTATGTTTAAAACGTTTAAAATTCAGGTCATAATGAAACCAACTGTACTGTATACAGTAAATGTAACATCATTTGTCATTTTTTTCAAATAAATATCTGAATATGTTCTGAGACCTCTGAACATGTTGAAAAAATAAATCTAGATAATATGAATACATTAAAACATTTTTCATTTTAATTTATATTTAGAATATATCATTTATTTTAAAATATATATATTAAAAATGGGCCAAACAGGCAACTGCGCAACTGAATCCCCCCCAAAGTAAATAAACACAAAATTGAATGTATCAGTTTTCTATAGTCTGTTTTGACCCATGTGTCAGAAACCAGTGATTCACATAATTTAGCCTATTACTAAATTATATCTTGTATGCATGAGCATTACGGATCACAACTGGTCATGTTGAATCGCTCTCAGTGCTGATGGTCCTTGATGTTAGTACAGTAAATTTGGTAAAGATAGCCTCTGTTGTCTCCTCCTGAGAGCCCAGAGGCAAGACAGGCAATGGAGGGGGTGAACGGGGGGATCATTAATGTTTGGGAATGGCACTGGCAGGCTTTTCCACACTGTCTGCCAAGCAGAGTCCCTCTAGAGGACTGAGAGGCAGTGAGCTGTGGTTGAGTACTAACCACCTCCCTCTGCTCCTTCAGATCAGGACAAGCAGCCTAGCAAAAACATTTAAGGATGAAGCATGCTAAAGCCGCCACATTAGCAATCCAATGTAAACACCCTTACAGTGTTGCACCAAGAGCCAAAATACGTAGAAATGCTGACTGAAAATCTGAGGAACTTGATTTATTGTGCTCATGTTTATGACAGCATTCCTTTGATAGGGTTTTGCAATGTACTGTATAATGTATTTAAGTGTAAGCCAGTTGCCCTTTATCTATACTTTTCTTATATATATGATAAAATTCCTCAAGTAAGTATAAACTAAATATGTAAGTGTAAAAGTCTTCACACATGCTATATTAATAAACACAATGTAGGAAGCCACTGCATATGTTAATTAGAACTGTTTGTGTGAAAATCAAAACAGATGATATCAAGAGAGTTAGCGAGACAGAGAAACAATAAATTAGGTACAATATAAAAAATGAATCTGTGCTTCTGTAGATTTAATAGAAAATGCAATATATAACTCAAACTAAGAATGTAATTCTGTTAAACATTATGTGAGTCAATCCAACATGATGCAAATAAGCAGTTTTACATTTTTACAAGCATTCCCTGCCTAAATGCTTTCCATTCTTCCTCTTCCCAGCATGCACTTGGACTCGAGTCATGGATAGTTGCATTTTTTGACAATTTTCATGTATATTTCTGACAGAAAACATAAGATTAAGATTAACTATGAATTTAAAACTGAAATGAATTCTCATGAACTCAATCATGTTGTACAACTTACTCACTTACTCATTACTTCTAAACAGTTGTATTAATTAAAAAAATGTTTGTGATCTGTTTCCAGTAGATAAACTTTTTCATTTTTAGCACGAATAATAATTATTCTGTAAGAGGATTGCTTGTGGCTTTTGCTTGTTTATTGTTTCAGACAGCTTGACTTTTTTTCAACACATAATTCTAAGAAACACTGCATGAATTTACTTGGCTACCATTCTGGGAAAAAATGGTCTCCATTTAGTTTGACATAACTTCCCTTTGGGGACGTTTAGGTCTAAGGCTTAAGTTATGGTTAACTTGAATAAATAATTTGAATTATATTTCATAGACACAAGTCTATGGTATAGCTTCTACTCTGCCAGTAAATTTCTTTATTAACCCAAATCAGCATTATAATGCATTATAAAATTAACAGTCATATTTAAGTTTCATTAAAAGGCATTTAGATGCAATTATAAGAAAACTCGGTAACACTTTCCATGAAGCCCGTATTTATAATACATTATAAGGGTATTCTTAAGGCATTATAATGAATGCATAATGCATTATAAAAAATTGTATAATATGTTATATCAACTCATGAATAATCATAACAACAGTTATAATACATCATAATACTTACGTATTTGTGGTTATAAGTTTAAGAGTATGATTATTTATAACACAATGAACACCATATTAAATCTACTTCATTTACAGAATAATGGACTGTATCATATCTTGACATTGTTTATTTAAGATCTGCACAGTATCTTACTATAGCTTGTGGGTGGTTAGATGTTGAGTGTTATTTGAGTGTTTCCTGTGGAGCTAATGTTAATTAACTGATGTGAGCTTAATACTCCAACTGAAAAAAATGCAATGTTTTATATGGTTAAATTTTTTTATGGTCCCCTTAATCAATCGACTATAAGCAACTTTGCAACTATATGCCAACTAACTCTCATTAGAGTATTAGTATGCTCAAGAATGGTAGAATCTAGTATGGTAGAATAAGTTGACGTACTTGCAAAGACACTTATAGTCAGTTTATCTGTTGGTTGACCATCAAAATAAAGTGTTAGCAAATATTTACAGTAGCAGACATACTAACACTAATGACCGCTAGTTGATATGTAGTTGCAGAGTCACTTATCAACAGCTGTTTAAAGGGTACCATCAAAATAATCAAACTGATATTACAATAAAAATAGTTCAAAGCAAATGTGTCATATTACACATTCATCTGATCTTATGGCGGTTTGAGAGAATTTTTTAAAAATTATTATTACTATTATTATTGCTACTACTTACAAGTGGTATTTGACCGCTTTAAGTAAAGTAGCATAAGAAAAATGGCAAGTGTTACGGAACTGACAAGATGTGAGATGTGCGGATCCATTCGCAAAGCTTTATTGTGGAGAAGACAGAGACGTGGTCATAAAGCAGGCAGGGTCAAACAGAGGTAGACAGGTATATGGCGGGCAAGACACAAGAATAGTCCTAGGGCTAGCGTGGGTTGACGATTGGCAGACAGAGTCACAGGGGCAAGGCTAAAGGGAGAAATCCAGGAAAACAGGCGTAGATCAAAACCGGAGAAAACAGCTAAGGCTAAGGCTAAGGCTAAGGCAGGGAAACAAATGAGGGCTCTGTAGTGCAGCTATCTGAGATATGCGCTAAACAATACTCGGCCGAGGGAAGGGCTCAGAGAGAGTGTTAAATAGTGAGGGAGTGATATGAAACAGCTGGGTGCAATCAGTGCAATGAATGATGGGATATGTAGTCCGGGG